GGTAACACCAGCAAATGTTGACTTTTTGATCTCACCATCTCTTTCCTCTAGTTTCTTCTTCTTCTGCCACAATTCAGTCTGCAAGTTAATCAGAAATAAATACGTAAATCAATATAGGAATTACTTGTGTTAGATATTATAAAAGCTTTCATTTATCGAATATATAGTCAACACTATTTTAGAGTGCCATTGGTATTAATTTGAAGGCATAAATTAAATCATATGAAACAAACCTGACAATAGAGAAAAGCAAAAATGCTTTGCTGCAGCTCCCTGTGGTGTTTGACATAAACGTGGGGTTATGGATTCAGTGGAAGTCTATAATGAGGATGCTCCCTGGCTGGAAAGGCAGTTTTCTTTTGCACTTCACTGTCAAATCAGAATTTGAATAATGAATTGGGCTCTATAAGATCAGTTCCAAATCCACTGTTTGCAATTATTTCATCATCCTTGTCATTGACAAAACTTAGGGCAAATACTGGTTTTGCAGAGGGTTCCAAGAAGGACTGGGAGGAACGGCAAACATCTGAGAGCAGAATTCAGGCTGTTCATGATAAGTTGTAGAAGCAAGGTAAAAAATATGATGCAGTTCAAAGTGGAAGCGACGGATGTAGAAATAATCAACTACACAGAAGAATAATGAGTGAGAGTTTGAGGGGTGATTTTAAGTTTAAAATGCACCTCAAGAGTCTAACTATTATTATGAAAATTATGGAAAGCACAAATAGTGTACTGGAAAGTACAAAATAAACAGAGCCTGCAAGAGCTGTGAATTGGCTGATCTTTGAGGCTCTGCTAGTGCAGGGAAATAATATGGACAGGGAAACACTGCTGTTGTAAGTAGTATTAGGTGCCTCAGTGTAGACTGCAATTTGAAAATTACCCCAGGGAGGATGATGAAAATTATTTGACTTGTAGGGAGAAAGATTAAAGGCATTAGATAAGTTTTAGAATAAGAAAAAGGAGGGGAAGGACTAAAGGGAGACCGGATCTGAATCTTGAGGTAAGGTAACAGGTTTCATGCATGGATATCCATGTGAAGGAGCGTGGTAATGCTCTTGTGTTTCAAATTCACCATGGATATAACTGGAAATAAGTCTTAAATGGCGACAAAAGAGCTATGAGTGAGAAAACACTTCAAGGTGTGCTAGTTTGGGCTGGGGTAGGTTTAACTTCCTTCACAGTGGCTAGTACAGGGCTGTTTTGGATTTGTGCTGAACACAGAGTTCGTAATATAGAGATGTTTTTGTTGTTGCTGAGCAGAGCTTACACAGAGCCAAGGCCTTTTCTGCTTCCTATACTGCCATGCTGGCAAGGAAGTTGGAGGTGCTTGGAAGACTGGGATGAGACACAGCCAGGACAGGTGACCAAAGAGATAGTTGATGCCATATGACATGCTCAGTATATAAGGTGGGAGGAAGGAGGGGACATTTGGAGTGATGGTGGCGTTTGTCTTCCCAAGGAGCCATTACCTGTGATGGGGCACTGCTCTCCTGGAGATGGCTGAACACCCCCTGCCCCCGGGAAGCTGTGAATTAATTCCTTGTTTTGCTTGGCTTGCATATGCAGCTTTTGCTTTTCTCTATCAAACTGTGTTTATCTCAACCCATGAGTTTTCTAGCTTTTACCCTTCCGATTCTCTATCCCATCCTGCTTATGGGGGAGTGAGCAAGAGGCTGCATGGTGTTTGGCTGCTGTCTAGGGTTAAACCATGGCAAAGGTAAAGATGACAGAGCTGTGGAATGGATTGTCTAGGAGCTCTATTGCTGATGGGACAGACCCGATAGATATCTGTGAAGCCTATTTGCATAGTTGATCGTTCTGTAGAGGCAGACTATGTAACTTCTTGAAGGCCTTTGTAATCTGTTTACATTTGTTCCTCTGCCAAGGATGGTAGTGCCATCTGCTGCGTTGGCATAGAAAGGTGTATACTAAGGGAGTAGACAACTCCACTTAGCTCACTCTACAATCCATGGTGGTTGTTCAAAATTATCTTAAAAATTTAAAGTGATGGAATATAGAAGAAAATAGTAGTCTTTGCTTGTCATATAAATTAATGCCAAGACAAAATGGCACATTTTCTGAGTGAGAGCTACACTTATAAATTGTCTATACCAATTATTCTATTTCTATAGCTCAGCAGTAGGACAGTTAAATGTCATGATTGACTTCTCTCACGGTAGGAAGTGCCAGGGCTGGAATGTGTCACAGTAGGTGGTCAGTGTGGTCTTGAACTGTACATTACTACTTCATATCAACTGATTTCTGCATTGTTCAAGCATGAAGATAGATGGTGTTTAAGAACAAGGCTGTTATTAATATTTATGTCCAGTCTTTCTTGGTCCTCAGCCTCATTTATCACATGGTCTAGAACTGCAGAAGTATCATTTGGGAGAGATATCTAGAGACTGCCTTCCCTAATGTCTTGATCAAATCAGCTGCTGCTTTGTTGCTGCTGCTTTGCTGAATGCTGAATATCTCCAAGAACGGAGATCCCACATCCTGTGGTAGCCTGTTCCAGTGCAGCTGTGTCTTCCTAGTGAAAAAGATTTCCCTGATTCCTGTTGCGAAGCAGTTCTGTCTTGCTGTGGCATCAGTGGGTCCAGTGTTATAGTATCTACTCCATGGTTGTTATTGCATTTGCCTCTGTAACTGCTTGTATTAATAGTGTTGTTTCACCCCTAAGGACTGGAGGAACTGTGGTTGTTAATGTTTGCTGTTTTGGCAGTAGTGGTGTATTGAATTTGAAAGGTGTGTGGCATTGACATTTATAACATGGAAGCAATTTTCCTAAGAGTTTGAACAGGGCACTCCATATGGTTGAGTGTGGCCATTACTGTAGTTTTTTCGCCTTGGAAATTGGGATCAAAAGCATTTTACTGAGGAGACGTGGTGAATCAGTGAAAGATTTGGAACTAATATTTCTGGATTCCCAGTTCCCTTGTGGTGACCGCTGGGTGCCCACCAAACTGCTCCATCACTCCCCCTTCTCAACAGGACACGGGGCAGAAAATAAAACAAAAAGCTTGTGCATCAAGATAAGGGCAGGGAGGGATCACTCACCGTTTGCCATTGTGGACAAAACGGACGTGACTTGGGGAAATTAATTTAATATATTGTCAGTCAATTACAGATTAGAATAATGAGAAATAGGAACAAATGTGAAAACACCTTCCCTGCCATCCTTCTTCCCAGGTTTACCTTCATTTCTAACTTCTCTATCCCCTCCCTTCAAGCAGCTCAGAGGGACAGGGAATGGGGATTGTGGTCAGTTCATAACACTTCGCTTCTGCTACTCATTCTTCTCACACTCTTCACCTGCTCCAGTGTGGGGTCACTCCCATGGAAGACAGTCCATCATGAGCTTCTCAAATGTGAGTCCTTCCCACAGTCTGCAGTCCTACACAAACTGCTCCAGCATAGGTCCTCGACAAGGTCACAGGCCCTGCCAGGAGTCTACTTCAGCATGGGCTCTCCGTGGGGTCGCATCCTCCTTCAAGACACAACAACCTACTTCAGTGTGGAGTCCTCCACAGGCTGCAGGGGGATCTCTGCTCCACTGATAACCTCCATGGGCTGCAGGGGGAACAGCCTACCTCATCATGGGCTGCAGGGGAATATCTGCTTCGGCACCTGGAGCACCTCCTGCTGCACTGACCTTGATGTCTGCAGGACTGTTTCTCTCACATGTTCTCTTACTCCTCTCTCACAGCTGCTGTTGTACAGTGGGTTTTTTTACCCTTTCTTAAAGATGTCATCACAGAAGTGTCACCAGCATCACAGATGCAGCAGATATGTCGTGGATTCAGCTGGCATTGGCACTGTCTGACATGGGGCTGCTTCTGGCATCTTCTCACAAAAGCCACCCCTAGAGCCTCTCCCTTCTACCAAAACCTTGTGACATAAACCCAATACATCTGCATTCTTCCAAAATACATTGTTACAGATTTTGTAATTTTGTTTTAGTTTAAAACATCACAACTTCAGTTTGCAGAAAATGAAATGTATCCAATTAATGGCTACTTCCCAGAAGCAATTTATTCAATTTGATTTATCAGTCTGCTGAAAAGCTCCTGAGTGCATGTAATTTCTCTTGAGTTGCCTTACAACTAAATGATGGTACGTAGCTGTTTTCTTTCCCTGTAGCTTCTAGCTGAAGCCTTATTTGTTGCTTCTACAGTTAGTGCAAGTAATTTCATACAAATGCAAAGCACTATTTCAATGTGTGAGAAGATGAAGTGTTTGATTTATTTTTCTTATCTCCTCCCTTATACCCCACTTGGTAGTCTGTGTGAGGGGAAACTTGGAGATTTCTTGCTGTCATTAAAATGTATTCAGTTCAGTTTCTGTTCATAATATTGACAAGCTTCTCTGCTTTCATTTTAGTCTTTGGACTTTAATCAAACTTGTGGTGAAAGATGTCTTAGACAAATCAAACTGACTATACAATGAGAGTATTGAAAATATGTATACATACAATATTTGAAAGGAAGTGGAAGTCTGACTTTTTTTTTCAACTTTAATTTATCCTGATTCTGTACCAGTTCCAAGAGTTGCAGATTTAAAAATGAATTTGAAGAATGTAATTTCACTGTTGGTACTTCTTTTCTGGCTATACTTTAGGCAGTATGCTCCTTTGTCCCACTTTTCAGTGTTCAGAAATCTCCATGTAAATTTACATTAACTTGTGTCTCCCATCTAAAAAAATCTTGATTACCTATTGATGACTGTACCGTACTGTTCAGTATCAGCTGTTCATTGGAGTTTAGAAACATACCAAAATCAGGCTTGAAAAACCTTTCTCCTATTTTGACTTAGAGTAACATATATCCATTACCTAGCAGAGGCATTGCAGACTTTCTTCTTGTAATGGTTTTCTGAAAAGGTTTCTACTGCCATGGAAAACATTATCTTTACTTTGTTTTTCAGATTACTACTTTGGGCAACCTGACACCCGCAAGCACT